AAACTGCCCAATGGTACTACTAATAATATGTCTACATCAGGAGATCACGGTACCATCTTCTTTTCAGACACCTCGATGGGTTATCAGGAATTAAACAGGAAGCAAGCTTAGAAACGAGAGGGTTGGGATGATTCTGAAGTTTATTATGGAAGAATAGGTATCTGGATTTGTCCAGATCTGAAACATAAGAAACATTATGGATTGTTTTATGGGTAACAAAGTAGGGAGCATTGAGGATTTTACGAAGGATTTTGGATTGTAAAGATTGGATACGAGAGGAATTCGATGGTTTAATGGAGCCCCATAGCTCAATTCCATAAGGCCAAATAAGCCTTATTATAGTCATGCATATGAGTCTTTTGTAATTAATTGAAAATTTAGAGCGTTTTTCTAGTAAGTGGTGAAGTAATCGGAAACGTCGAGCGGTTTCTTTGTCGGTTCAGTCTGGTATGAGGATTCCAAGTTAGACGTTTATTTAAGTGGAGTCTAAAGTATCGGATTTGCTCGACAGGGATTAGTGGGGTATTATTAAAGGATACTGTAGGACAGGAGGACATAGGTTTACGACGAAGGGTAATGGTGATTTGATGGGATTTATTGAAATTAATTTTAATCCTCCAGTTTTGAAATCATTCTTCAAGGTTTATGACGTGTGATTGAAGCATTTGGGATGCAATTAACGGGTCATTATTTACTGATAGGATACATGTGTCATCGGCATACGTGGTGAGTGTCGGGATAGTTTGGGATGTCAGCTGTATAAACTGTATAGAGGATAGGACCTAGGATACTATCTTGACGAACACAAGCGGACTTGGATAAAAATTAAATTTAACAATATTTTACATTGAATTTCGTATAAACATTTAGTTATACCTTGTTGAAGGGCAGTCGCTGCTATCAATGTACGACGATTTTGGGAGAGAAGAAATGAACTTTCGTAACAATTCTTAATATTTGTTTCCTAGAACATTTTGGGTCAGTTTAAATCATCAATTAAATTTCTCGGGAGGTTTTATTTTGTTTTTAGTGCGCTGGATGTTTTAGCAGCCATACAATTTCTTGTACTTCTCTCGTATTATAAGGAATACACCAAATCTGGTTTTAATATTCGTGATTAAACAATAAGCGCTGACAACATTTTTTTTATAAACCTCATGTTATCTCAGCCACTCAAAAGTATGCAGAGGTGAATACAAGATTAAGGAAGGAGAAAATTGATCACTTGGAGGAATCGAAAGAATTGAATGAAGCTCATATTATGTTGAACAATGGCTCTTAAAGTTATGTGTCACTGCTTGGTGCCATCAGACTTGCCTCAAATGTCACACGAGGTTTCTCCAATTACCATAAGTGCATTAGCATACTGGAGGGGGCGACGGGACCACGGGCCCACACTTGCCTCTAACACTCCGGCATTAATGAATAATTCCAAAATGCAACTCAATTAACAATCGACTGAAATTAGGAGCCAATTAGGAATGGGATCTTGCATTTAATTAAATACGCTTTAAGATTATTTCAACAAGTGACTTATAAAACATGATAAAATTGAGCTATGTTCAATATTACTTTTTAATTTTCTTTCTCATAATATGGAGCAGAACTTTGGGGTTCTGCAAAACAAGCACACATAAACAAAATACAAACAGCACAATCAAAAATTTTACGAAAAATTGTTAACGCACCTTGGTACATTTCTAATTCTACTATACATAACGACTTAAACACCCCAACAGTAAAATCCTACACCCACGACAAATACACTACATTTCATTCTTCAACCCCAAAATCACTCCAATCCTCTCGTTCTTTCTATCTCCTGCTCCCTGTTACCTGAACAACGCAGATTATTAAGAAAATGGCCAAGAGACCTACTATATCAATATAAACCAAATCAATAAAAAACACCAAGAGTGTACAAACACAACAAAATTGCTAGATGTGCAGCCGCGCTGGTGCAAATTGCATAAAATACAAATAAATAAATAAAATAAAATAATTTTCTATGTAGTATCATCAATCTTAATTAAAAAACAAATATACGAAATGTATAAAAATTTCTGGAAGAATACAAGTAATTGGTACCTCATTCTGACAACAAGATCAATCAATCAAATTCATTCCAATATTTCTGACCGATTACAGAAAGTTGGTGCAAAATACTGAATATCAAAATAAATTCTTGGGATACAATATGGAGTAAATGAGCGAATATTTAAAATATGTCTATATTTGTATAGACAGTTTGATAAGAAAGAAATATTAATTGAGTAACAATTGTATACATCTATTCCATAGTATTTTTTCATAACAATTTTGTTCTCGTGTGAAAACATCCTCTACATGTTCTCTAGATTTACGTCTACATGTTTTATACTAAATAATCTTTGTTTACTTAGCTTAAATTTTAATCAAAGTATTTAAATTATTTTAAAAAACACAAATTATCCTGAATAGAAAAAATCTTTGAAAAAAGTATTATTACAAAGTTTCAGTAAAAATTATTTACTTTTTAAAATATTTTTTTATTTATGATATATACAACTGTATTAATATAATTACATCAAGTAAATGTATACACAGAAATGTAATCACATAAAAACGCTTGTTGAGAAACTACCCACTGGTAGCACTCTAATAATATGTCTAAAAAAGGAGCCATATCAACAAATCACGCGGCCATCTTCTTTTTAGACACCTCGGAGGATTATCAGGAATTGAAGAGGAAGCAAGGTTAGCAACAAGAGGATTCGGATGGTTATGAAGTTTATTATGAAAGGATAGGTATCTGGATTGGGCCAAATCGGAATCGTATGGAACATTAAGGCCTTTATGAATTATTTTATTTGTGACAAACTAAGGAGCATTAAGGATTTTACGAAGGATTTTGGATTGTAGGGATTGGATACGAGAGAAATTCGATCTTTTTTTAATATTAAACTCAAAGAACTAATTTGTTTTCTGATTACACTATTATAACCCAACGAGGAGTTCATTTTTACTATTTCATAAAAATAAAAAAAAAAGTGTTTTTGAACAAAAGTTATTTATTTTATTTACTTGTTTATTTATTATTTAATAATTACTGTATTTATTTACTTCTGATCCGCTTTGTACAGGCTGGGTGTTTCTCTGGAATGTGTGCATATCCCTTTTATTTTCTTACTATTTCCAATATTTTTTTCAGGAAAAAAATAAAGTGCACTGAAGTTCTGTGGCGGCACTAAATCATAAAATGTATAATATACATATTTTTCAAACCAGCACATTTAAAAGTTTCTCTGTTAAAAGCCATGTGCAATTATTAAAAAAAAAAAAAGCCTGCAAATTCCTTTCAAAGTTTATGCGGCTACAAACGAAAACAAGACTGTCCATTTATATAATATGCAATACAAAAAAAAATTATATGTTTTATTTAAATGATTTCTCTGAATTTTTTTGTACCTTATTCGCCCGTTTATTTACTAACTTTTTTTTTACTACTGCGTCCAATTTCAACGTTGAGAAAGAGGTGTTTCAGAAGAAAACTACAACAGAATGACATACTTTTATAAAGAATTTTCGTAATCATTCAAAACTGGCTAAATTAAGTGAATCTCGAAAGCTTATTTTTAACTGATCTCGATTGTAGAAGATATAAAAGTTAAAAAAAACAATCATGTTATCTCAATTTTCTGTTTATTTAAGTAACAAAAATAATACTTCGGCCATGACAAATACACAAAGCCACATGCCCCTTGTCACATATCGAGGACGCGGTTACTGCGGTGGATTTAGACATAGTAAACTGTAGTTACGAAAGATAAATCCTTCATCTTGAGGAGAAAATTTCACTTTCCCGAAAACAGATAAAGGATTCAGAAAGGTTAATTAGAAACTGTAAATAATTTATAATATTAATACCTATTTGAAACATAATAATATTCAATAACAGTATTATGATTAAATAACATATTATATAATTCAATGAAGATTGGGTGATCTATATACTGGAGAGCCCCCTCCAAAATAGAATTTTATAGATTTTTTTTTGTTTAATCTGTCCATATTTGTTCCTGGGAGAAAACTAAGATGAATACTTAAACAATAACCATAATTTCTCATCTTAAATTATAATGCATATCTTATACACTTACACACAATTACACAGTTGGTCATGTAGTTTTTTGTTTTATTTTTTAAGGGGCCTTTTAATTATAACTAAAATAATTTTTTACATTTTTCCAGGGATTTTTCTATAGTAATTAGCGTCAACATTTTTTTTTAAATAAATAAATAAAAAAAGCTTCCTCAAAATTGAATTCTGGATCCGCAACTAATAATGAGTATATATTTACGCCGTTTTCTTTTCTTTTTTTAAAATATATTTATTATATCAATAAACACATCCCAATAAATAATTTTATTCGTTCTCTGAAATTTCGTTACTTCTCTGGTTTATTGTTGAGTATAATAAATAGAAGACTGTTCACTTAACTTAAGGAAAATAAATACGTTTAGCTATAAAAATATTAATTGTTAATTCCATTGATTAAGGTTTGACAAAATTCCGTATTAAATAGTAGATACAAATATGATTCTCATATTTTGTTGACTTTGAAAGAAGTATAAGTCCATTCAAGATCATTAAAGGTGTATATTTCTGTTGATTAGTACTTTTAAAAAGACCATATTAAAAATTTAATGTATCAAGAAAAAGGCATGAAATAAGTATACGAACCCTTAAATATCTCCATGTAATATAAAATACTTTTACGCTTTCTTAAAAAAAAAAAGTCCATTTCTTATAATAAATTATAATAATTTCTTTTTTAAATCTATATAATAATATATATTTTTTTAAACTTATTTATTGAAAAATATTACAATCTGTCTCTAGGGCATTTATAATAGAGTTCACAGATCACATTCACACTCTATCTACAATAAATAAAAAAAAGTAAACATAATAATAATAAAATCATTTTTTTTTTTCAATTTTAAACACTATGTTTCAGAGAGATTTCTCCTAGAAAATAGAACGAGTGATATATCAATTTTCGCCAAACTGATACGAAGAATGGACAGCTGCTAGAAGATTTTTCAAAGCTTATACTCTATAACACAAAGAGCTGAAACGGAGACAAGTTTCATTGCCTTACCTTGTTAAAACTGTAGTAAGTATTTCATATTTTAAATAGGTACTTTCTTGAAACCTTGAGACAGTCCTTTTTTCGCACACGGAAAGGTCCAAGCGATGTAATTATTAATAATATGTAAATATGCAAGGTACTTTTTCTTGCCGTATATAGACTAGGAAAGGACGACTTTATTGTAATATGTGTCTTTCAATAGTTTGACACAAGACACATCCTTCGTCTTAAGAACTGAAGGCTGGTAATGAAATGACATGTACGTGTGTAGGAAACATAATAGAAATAAGGACATTTTCTCTTCCACACTTCAGAATATGTTAACAATATACCATAGTTCAGATTCTTCGACTGTCAGCAACGAATCACTTAAAAATTATATTTAGAGTAATTCCGTTCTGACTTGTGCATAGGGTTTGAAGTCTAAATAATTCAAACGTGATCTATTAATCACAATGTAAATGATTAAATTAGGCAAAATAAAAACATATATATGTCAAGGAACCATAAAGCGGAAGAGCATTCCCCTTTGCAGTTCTGTTTATGTTTATTGAATTACCTGTTACATAAGACAAGGTAGATATAAAAAGGATGTTATTAATGTTTAAATGCAATGTTACTTAAAATTACATGAGGAAAAATTAATTTTACCTGAACTTTAAAAGCTACAATACACATCTGCAACAATTATCTAATAATGTTTTCCTTTTTCTAAATATGGTAAAGTTAAAGAAAATGCTTCTAAGTTTTGGTGTGCATATTGAACTAGTGGAAATACTTATAGTCCGTGATACAGAACCCTTTTTATCGAATTATTAGCATCCGCCCGAAACTTCGTAAATAGTTTCATCTCATCGTAACCTACAGCTATTTTATTTACAAAATTCTTGAAATCGGGGCGTTTTCAATCTAGACGGGGGCAAACATTGTCTATTTAATTAGGTAATTAAAACTCGTTTGCTTTCTACTTGAATCGTAAGATAATTTGATCACAAAATTGATAAGAAATGTAGCCATCAAAAGTACTGAGCCGTTTGGCGTGACTTACACCCCCAAAATTTCAATATAACATATAAGAAAAACGGCCCAATATTTTTGCAGTCCATATTTTTTTTTCTATTTTGTGATCAAATTATGTTACGATCCAAGTAAAATGGAAATGAGTACTTACGAGTTTTTAGTACCTTATTAAATAGACAAATTTTGCCCTCCTCCAGATTGAAAACGCCTCAATTCCAAGAGAAATAAAATAGTTGTAGGTTACGATGAGATGAAACTAGAAGTTTCAGGCGGACGTTAATAATTTGATAAAAAGGCGTCTGTACCATGGATTATTAGCTAGATTTAATAACTCAAAAATTAAAATTATATGAAACACAAACTACGAACGTTTATGGAACCATTTTTTTTTTTTTTTTTTTTATAGGATTTAAGGATGATAATGAGTAGAAGTTCAAAGAAACATAGATAACGGATACACGAAAAATTAAAACTAATTAATATTTTCATTTTTTTATTTGTTGATATTTGTATATATTTTATTTTTACAAATTTAACATATATTAATTCTTATACATTTTTTTTCAATAAGATAATCATTGGAACATTTTTAAATGATGTAATAATGATTTATTTCTTTGTATATATGTAAATAATTAAAAAAATAGTAAAACAATTAAACATTATTTAAAGAGTTTTCTCCAATTTTTTGTTTAAGAAACACAAATCATAGTTTAGTGTTGAAATGAAATAGAATTGGTATTTTTATTATATTGAAATTCGTAAAAAAAATAAATAATAAATAAAGTAGAAAACCACACACAAAAAAAAATTAATTAAAATTAAATGAAGATCATTGGATTCCATTACAAATCAAATTTAAAAAGGTCGTTATAAACGTTTTAGAAAATTCATAGATTATTCATAAAAGTTTTTCTACCGCAATATGTTCATTTCAGTCATTGCAGCTTTCTATTAGTTATATTAAATACTATATAATACAAAATACAAATAATTCTTCATTCAATCTTCTAAGTATAAATATGACAAATATATTTGAACGGTTCTACAGCTTTTTCACAATAAGTATTTATAAGCTATTTTTCCTCTTCATAATGAGAAAATATCTTCGGAAATGTCAGGGCGAGATCCTAAACACATTTGGATGCGGGGTGGAGGTCAGGGAAGACGATTACGAAATGCATAGGCGCCACATAATTCAACAGTTAAGTTGCGTACACCATTCCAAAATTCATAGAAGAATATATAGGTATTTCCCGTGTGTGATAAACTCCATTTATTTAACACAAGATCACAAAAAATACAATATTCCTCAATTATACCCAATAAAAGGACAATAAAAACATTCTTTACTTAAATTGCGGTTATAATGGAGTGGAATAGTCTTATGTCATACGATATATGAATTGTTAATTAAAATGTATTATGAACAAGATTTATCGTAAAAAAAAAACAAGTTAAGAAATAAATAATGAAGAAAATCATAACTAACAGCTATCATTATCAAATGATACACTCGGTAACATCAAACAGTTTTATTAAATAAACGAAAATTTAATTAAAACACATATTATTATTTCTTTTGGATTATAAATGAATGAATAAAATAATAAAAATGTTCGATTTCAAATAGACAAATAATGTAAATCAAATTAAATTAATCATTCTACATTCGTTCCTAATTATCATCCCAATCAAGTCCTGAGTGTCTGTTGCTCTAGTGCCCTCCATCAGTCTCCACTGGCTTGCAATACCAGTGCCGCGGCTGGGAGAGAAGCACTGGGATCTCTTGGAGTCCTGCCTTGGCTTCCACATTTGGGGGACAGAGCATGCTCAAAGTCCTCTGAGCGAATGTAATTATTGTTTATTGGTGTGAATGTGTTTTATCTATTTTAATTTCGTTTAGTTTCTCTCTATTTTATATACATATATTTTTTTTTTACAAATATATCTTAATTTCTTATTTTACTTTCTACAACTCTTTTTCTTTTATCTCTATTTTAAATTATCATTTGTATGTATATATTGTGTGAATGTTTAATGTAGCCCTAATATTAATGCCCTGCAATGTGGCAGAATGTATTAATTTTCAACAAATAAAAAAAAATTATCACATATATTCTAACTAGCAGATTCTTATTATAAAAAACAATAATTTATCTGAGTTAGAATTTATCTAAAACGTTGAAGTATTCGATTCCTACATAACCATAGAGCTTTCAATCTTCATCCATCTTAATTCAACGGTAAAAGTGCTTTAGAATTCCACTAGAAATAAATGATAGACCCTTTAGAATTCTAGTAGAGATAGATGACTTATTACACCATAGAAAGAAATTTATAACAATATAAAATTTATCAGAGAAACACATTAAAAATGACCAGGTAAATATACTGTAGTGAAATTGTTATTTAAATAATCAATTTAAACAAATTAGTTAGGAATAGATTTTTTTTTAGATATTAATTTTCTTTTTTAATTATAAATCGCAAAATTGAAAGGAAACATGGTGTTCGGCTTGAACTCCTATTGATAGGATATATTGTCTGGTTTATTTCACCACTAAGCTAAAGTGGGCATTGGACAGGACTGTTACAGAGGATGTGGGATACACAACAAATCATTTATTCATAAGATAGTATAGAAACAATTTAAAGTTTTTTAAATTGATAAGTAAGTACGAACCTTAATGTGAAAGACATGTACATAATGTGTAAAGAAATCATTTTTACCATTTTTCTTTTTCTTTTGAGCTTTCATATTACGGAGAAACCTTTGGTTAATGAATCTACATTTTCATATAAACATTTTGTAATGTCCTTTGTACCAGACATTGCCAGTTCATGAATGTAAATGTGATGTTTTCGTAGGAAGGAAAAAATATGAAAAAACTATTAATACCAATAAAACTAGTCATATTTATTCGAACTTATTTAAAAAGAAAATGTTGAACACAATATCAAATGTTTAATCCGTGTTACAGGCCACTTTTTATCGAATTATCCCCCCGAAATTTTGTAAATTTGTAAATAGCTTCATCTCATCGTATCCTACAACTATTTTATTTACGAAAACTCCTGGAATGGGGGCGTTTTCAATCTGGAGGGGAGCAAACTATGTCTATTTATTTATGAGTACTAAAAACCCATTAGCTTTCTATTTGGAACGTAAGATAAATTGAATACAAAGTCGAGAAAAAAAGAGGCCTTTAAAAATATTAAGCAGTTTGGCGCGACCTACATCCCCAAATGTTCAAAATAAGGAGGTTATATAGGACAAACGGCCCAATATTTTTGTAGGCCACTTTTTTTATCGATTTTGTGATCAACTTATCTTACGATCCAAATAGAAAGCAAATGGTTATATACGAGTTTTAGCACCTAATTAAATAGACCTAACTCCCAGATTGAAACCTCCCCAATTCCAAGAGTTTTCGTAAATAAAATAGTTGTTGGTTACAATGAGATGAAACTATTTACGAAGTTTAAAAAAACAAAAAACATAATAGCACATTACATTTTTAAGACAATACAGTAGTTTTTCACATACATAAAATTTACTAGCGATTTTTTTATATTTATTTATTTAGAAATATAAGAATCTGTCACGTGGACAATAATTATAATGATATTAGTGAAATTGTGTCCATGTGTCCATTATTATCACATCAGCCAAGTATTGCTCAGAAAAATATCAAGCATTCAAATGAAAATTGGCAAATACCATTTACTACATTTTTATTACAAATGGGCAGGCAAATCCATTCCTTCCACACAGGCATTATAATCTAAAATTGTCAGTGAACAAGGAACATGAACTTTTAATTGTATCCAGTGAATTATTTTTGATATATGAACTTCCAAGCAATACAGACTTGTTATCCATCCATAGATGACGCATCCTTTTTTGTTATTATATTATCAGATTTCATCATATGGATTCCTCAATTTTTAGCAGCTACAGAAAAAAATTCCCATTTCATTGATGTGTAAAATTCATATGA